TGGCGGCTAGCCTGGCACTCCCTGAGCATGTGCAGATGAACTAGCTTATTCCTCGCCAGGATATTTCCTGCGCTCTTGTTTTGGGTGCCTGTTTTACTGACAAGGAAACTGAGTCCTGGAGGTTGAGATGGTACCTCTAGGGAAGGCAGAACTCTTGGCTTCCAGAGCCATGCTCTTAGCCTTTTTCAGTCAGTTACCCCCCCGCTGCCAGGCCCTCAGGCCAGCTGAGGAATGTGGTGGCAGGAGAGAAACGGGGGAGCTGGAAAGTTCAGGGGGTTCCTGCTCAGAAAGCATGCTCTGAGACATATTTGGCACTGAGTAGCAGGGTGTGTTGGGGTTACAGGTATGGAGACACCCCACAGTTTGGATAGAAACCAAAAGGGGGACACTGTTGGCCTGTCTCCATGGACTCTTCTGCTAGTGGCATGGCTTGAAAGAGCTGGTTACACTGAGGAAAAGGTGCAGACTTCCCTCCATGGCTCACATTCAGAAAACACTCAGGGTTCTTCTGGTGGCTGAGGAGTGGCCAGAGCCAGGCACGGACCTCTGTTCACTGGGTCTTGGAGGCATATAGAGCTGCTGTCACTAGGAAGGGAAGCGGCCAGCAGAGGGGCAGGCGGAAAATAGAAACCCCATCAGGGGAAACTTTAAATTCTTACTCTGTGAAAGAAGATACTGCAGGAGTGTGTTGACAGAGCGTGTGTTTTATGTGTGGGGACAGCTGGGACCCTAACAGCGTGTTGCCCAGAGACTCGGTCCAGGCGTGTTGCCCCTCTGGTCACTACTGAGACAAGAAACACAAACAACCGGCCGGGCTGGGCACCAGACACCCCCTGGCGGGCAGGAGCCTGTCTTCTCTGGTAACTGCTCTGTTGACATAAACACGAGGCTTCCAAGGCTTTGAGCTGGGGACAGGGGTGGAAGGCCAAGGGTCTCCCAGAGTCTGAGGCTGGGCCTGGGGAAGAGACCAAAATCACAAGCGCAGGCTGGGTGTGTGTTCTGCTGCACAAAACACAATAGTTGCCTTATCTTGAGGAGAACACTGTCTTGGGCAAACAGGGGCAGTGGAGGACTGGTCCTGGTCACCATGGTCTTCCATTTGGGTGGCCACTCCTGGCACCACTCAAGCTGCCTGGCATTGCCCAGCTGGAGTCTTTGAGGAAAGTGATCTGATAAGAAATGTCCATTAGAGCAACTAAGAGTGCCCTCTTCAAAGGGTGCTTGTAAGGCCAACAGTGACCACCTGGAAGAAGCCAGGAGCTTAACAACCAACATTTGGGCAGAGAATTTAGCCTTTAGTGGGAGAAAGATTTTGGAATAGATGCAGGTAGAAAGGGCTTGGGCCTTTCCTGGTGCTCCTCTGCGCACTGGTTCCTACATGGAGTGGAGGACTCAGCAGTCTAACCCTAAACAATGATTGGGGCCCCGAGGAGATGCCTCTGAGGTAGCAGAGCCAACGTGGAGCCTTTCTGCTTTTGTGCTATGAGAGGTAACTTGAATGTAGAATATAATGAATGTTTTCAAAATTAGGCTTCTGAAAAAAAAAGTCGTCCTGGGTTGCAGAAGTGGCTCTGTTAGGAACACATACTATTGCAGGGGACCCCAGTTCAGTTGCCAGCACCAGCACCCACGCCAGGGTGTGGAACTCCAGTTCCAGGGGATGTAGATCTCTGGCCTCCAAGAGAACTGGCATTTACACACACATACGTAATTTAAAACCAAATTTTTAAAAAGTTATCTTTTTATTTCTCAATTGGGGATCCCTGTAGGACATGTGAGAGAAGAGACCCTTGCGCCTTGGCTCCCACTCAAGGGCCTGCCCTCACTGCTAAAGAACCTGAAGCCCCAGCACTTGGTCGAGCGCTCACCTCGCTTACAGGAAGGCCTGGACTCCATGCCCTGTACCACATAAGCTCACGAGGTGGTTCACTCCTAGTCCAGCACCCTGGAGGTGGCAGTAGGCGGGTCAACAGTTTAAGGTCATCCTTGACCACACAGCATATTTGCAGCAGTCTAGGCTGTGGGAGACCTTGGGGCTGCCGAGATAGCCCAGTGGGTAAAGGCAATTGCCACCAAGCTTGGTGACATGAGTTTGATTGTCATGATCTCCTTAGCACATGCTCAGCTCTGCACGTGAATCAAGGGTGAGAATTGGCCAGCACCAGTAACAGAAGAGAGAGAGAGAGAGAGAGAGAGAGAGAGAGAGAGAGAGAGAGAGAGGAAGGGCTAGGCAGGTTCTTCCTTTCCTTTTGTATAAACACTCTTTTTTAATAGTGAAGACAGAGACTGCAGACAGCTTAGCTGGTAGGGTGCTTGCCTAACATACATGAAGCCTGGGGTTCCACCCTCATGGCTGCATAATCCAAGCCTGGTGGGCCATGAGTCTGCAATCCCAGCACTGGGAAAGTGGAGGCAAGAGGGTCAGGAGTTCAAGGTCATCCTTCTACCCTGGACTACATAGAGAGATCAGGGCTACCCTATAGTACATGAGCTCCTGCCTCAACACGTAGACACACACACACATACACACATACAGAGACACACACACACAGAGACACATGCACACACAGACACACACACACATACAGAGACACATGCACACATAGACACACACAGACAGATGCAGATACACACACATACACATAGATATACATACACAGACACACACATGGACACACACAGATACACATAAACACGCAGACACACACAGACAGAGGCAGATACAGACACAAAGACAGACACACACACGGACACACACACACACACTGGCCTTTTTCTTACCTTTCTGTTAGGGGTTGAATATAGAATGTTGCCTGTAGTCTCCCTGTTGAACTCTTGGTCTCCAGCAGGTGGTGCTGCTTGGGGAGGTTCTGGAAACTTGAGGAAGCAGGGCCTAATTGAGGGGGGGAAGAGGTGACTGGAGGTTGCCTGTGAAGGCTCTACCTGGTCCTTGATTCTTTCTCTCTCTGCCCCTGTTCATCGTGAAGAGAAGAAGTCTGCTGTCACATGTTCCCACCCATGCTATTCTGCCCAGGAACTGATGGCAAGGACCCCCAGAAGCTGTTAGTGAAAACACACCTCCCTCTTCCAGTTGTTGGTCATAGCAGTGAGAACACCAACTGGAAATACTTCCGGCCAGTTGTAACACAGCTGCAGACACGGCAGAGACAGATCAGGAATGTCCCAAACTGTACACTATCCATTTGTGTATTTCTGAAGATTTTTATCTGTGTGTCTGTCTGTCTGTTAATATTCATATCACATACATGTGGGAGCCAGAAGAGTGTATCAGTTAACCCTGAGCTGGCATTACAGCTGATTGGGAGCCATTATATGTGGGTGCTGGGAGCTACCCCCAGTTTTCTGCAAGGGCATCAAGTGCTCTTAGTGGCTGAACCATCTCCCCAGTCCACTTTGTATATTTTATATTGTTTTCCTATAGATTAGGATGTCCATCAGGACCCAGACCATTTTTTTTTGTGTGTTTTCTTTTGTTTTGCTTTTTGTTTTTTTGGTGCAAAATCTAGCAACAGAGTCCTCAAAAGGTGATAAATTCCAACTGAGCTTCCATAGCAGGTTAGGTATCCAAAACCAGAGCATCTAGACCCCAGATTTGTGTCTTCCTGTATCACAATTAATAAAAACCCAGAGACAGAAACTGGGGTTCAACCTGAAGATCAGAAAAGCAAAACAGTCAGCCACTGGCTCTTACCTCTACCTCAGTCCGAAATGGCGATGCTGCCTCCAGGAATTTCAGAATGAGACTGTCTGTGAGCTGTCCGCTCCTGTCTTATATTCCTCTCTAGGGCTGGGATTAAAGGCATGCACCACTACTGCCTGTTTCTATGGCAAACTAGTGTGGCTACTGGGATTAAAGGTGTGTGTCACCACTGCCTGGTCTGTAAGGCTGACAGGTGAGGCTGTTTTATTCTCTGAACTTCAGGCAAGCTTTATTTATTAAAATACGAAAGAAATGCCACTACATCTTCTGCCTGTTCTGAGTTAGATCATAGGTGTGCTGCATCTTGGAGGGCCAACATGATATCTATACTAGCAAATATTGTGATGTCTGTGTGAGACGATGATGGTGACCACAAGGGCAAGCCATTCCCAGCTATTCACTTGTCCAGGGTCGCTCTGTGAGAATGGAGCTGGGATAAGAGCCATTGTTTTGGTCTGGTGAGGTGGCTCAGTGAGTAAAGCTGCTTCCACCAAATCTGACGACCCTACTTCTATATCCAAAACCCACACTGTGGGAGGAGGGGATCAGCTCTCAAAGTTACTCCCTGACTCCTGCAAGCATCCCAAATACATAAAGAAGTGTAATGAAATATTTTTTAAAAATTAAAAACGTAATGTTTTTCCCAGGCCTACTCTCTGTCAATCAGTGTTTCTAGCTAAGTTTTATGTTTGGTTGCTATCATTGGGAAGCCTGCTCTTTTCTGAAGGGAACCAAGGAGCAGTAGATCTGGGGAGAGGAGAGGTGGGGAGGGACTGGGAGGAGTGGAGGGAGAGAAGGCTGTGTTGTATGAGAGAAGAATAAATAAAAAGAAAACAAAACCAAAACCAAAACTAACTATTTTTTTCCATTTTAATTACGTGTGTGTGTGTGTACACGCATGTGTGTATGTGTGTGGGCATGTTGTCACGGTGTACATGTGGAGGTCAGAGGACAAGCTGTGGGAGTCAGTTCTTTCCTTCTACCATGTGGGCCTGAGACTCAAACTCAGGTCACGGAACTCGGCAGCAATCGTCTTTACCTGAGCCATGACACTGGCCTGATTTAAAGCCGGTTTGAAAAGTTACATGTGGGACTGGACAGATGCCTCAAGCCACTGAAAGTGCTTACGCTCTTGCAGAGGATCCAAATTCAGTTCCCAGCATGCATGGCAGGTGTCTCCCAACCACCTGTAATTTCAATTCCCAGAGATCCAGAGCTTCCATGGGCACCTGCATGCAAGTGGTGTGCTTGAACTCACACAGGTACACACACATATGCGTACATTCAAATCAATAGCTCTTTAATAAGTTACATGTATAATAAAGCAACAAGCAAAACAAAGTTGTTTGATTTTCAGTGCCTTGGGTGGGATTTTCCTGGCTTCATGCTAGGCAGGTCCTCACTACTGAGCTAGCCCCAGTCCTGGTTTTAATAGCTCTCCTGGCATACAGACAAACCCACACAAATGTAGACCATCCAAAGCCAGCCATTTTGGTCCTGACAGTCAGGCTGGCTCCCCAGTCTGAGGAGGCGACTCTTGAGGAGGTGACTCCTGGCTGTTAGGAGGTTTGGGAAGTCCAGCGGGGGCCTCTGAGCAACCTGGCACAGTAGCTAAACTCTGGCTGCTTATTAAATGGTGCTTCCTGAGTTCTGTGCTAGAGAGACTGGCATCGATTGAATCCTCTCCCTGCGCCTCACTCTCTTTCCCCCATAGTTCCATTCGCTCTTCTCCTCTAAGCCGCGAGATCCCAGTTTTACAGATGAGAGTGTGAAGGCCGGCTGCTGTGAAGTCATGCTGGCCAAGTTAATGAACGATCGAGCTGGATTCCGAGTATTAATTAGCTTCCATCACCCGAGGAAACACCTGTGAAGTCAACTTCAAAGGGGAGCAGGCCGCTTTTGGCTCTCTGCTTTGGAGGCTTCGGCGTGTGGCTGGCCGGCTCCGTTACCACGGGCCCATGGTGAAGCTGAACATCGTGGCAGCAGTGTGTGGTGGTGAAGGCTGCTCGCCTCGTGCAGGGGCGGGGAGGGAGACAGCGAGGGGCGGGAGCTCGCAGTGACCAACTCCTTCTGACTAGTTGTCCCCACTCCTGTAGTCCACAGATTAATCCATGGGTGAGGTTGAACTCCATCTGATTTCTGACTCATCGAGGACCAAGACAGTGTGATCTACCTTCCCTGGGGAAAAAAGCCACACCTGTGTTGAGGATTGACTGATTAGGACTTCGGCCTATGGAAGGTTGGGATGGTGCAGATCCAGAGGCCAGCTATTTTGAGCTAGCCACCTTGGCGGCTGCATCTGACCACATCCTGTGGATCAGAGGGAAATCCTTCTGGAATGTATTAAAGGGCTAATAGCTTCCCCCAAACCCGAAGCTGAGACTGTCATGGGACATCCTCTGAGACCTACAGCAGAGATGCCCACGCTCTGACCACCCTCCAGCTGGCCTTACCAGGGTCTCTGCAAATGATCATGGCTTTGTTCTGTTACTGTAAAAACCTCATGAAGCTGTTACCATGTAGGAACACGGAATTAGGGGAACCTGGATCTGTGTTCCTGGTCATGCTCACTCATATATGATTCCAGGATAAACTCTTATTCCCTTTGAGTTAAGAGCTGTGGGGGTTTTGTTTGCATGTGTGTTGGGACTGTGTGCTCACATGTATGTGGAGACCAGAAGGTGATGTTTGTGTTTCCTCAATCACTCTCCTACTTTACTTATTTTTTTAAAAAAGATTTACGCATTTTGTTTTATGTGTGTGAGTCTTTTGCCTGTCATGTGCGTATGTGCAATGCTTTTGTGTCTAGTTTCAGTGGTGGTCAGAAGAGGGTGTCAGATCCTTTGGAACTGTAGTTACAGATGTGAGCAGCCACGTGGGCGCTGGAAACCAAACCCACGTCCTCTGCAAGAACAGCAAGTGTTGCTGAGCTAACTTTCCAGTTCAACTTTATTATTTTAATTAATTAATTTTTTTGAGAAAGGTGCTCACTGTGTTGACCTTTGACCTTTAACTCACAGAGATCCACCTGCTTTTGCCTTCCAAGTGCTGGCACCACAGGCATGCTCGACCACCCAGCTTCTACTGTGGCTTTTTTCTTCTCTTCTCTTCTCTTCTCGTCTCGTCTCGTCTCGTCTCGTCTCGTCTCGTCTCGTCTCTTCTTTCTTTCTTTTTTTCTTTCTCTCTCTCTTTTGTTCTTTCTTTTTCTTTTTTCTTTGCTAGGGTCTTTCTCTGACTCTTCTGCTAGGCTGGCTTGCCAGCCTCCGACATGCTCCTGCCGCTGCATCCCAGCACGGTGATTACAGAGATGCACGCAGAGGTTCCATGCTCGGCTTTTCTGTGGGTGCCTGGGATCCAAGCTCAGGTCCTCATGCTTCCACAGCATGCAGTTTAGTGAAGGAGCCGGCTCCTCAGGCCCGAGGCCGGACTTGTGTATCAGCGCCTTCGCTATGAGTCAGGGGTACATTTCACAGCTAAGCCACGAGAGGCTGCCTCCAGGACAGACTGCTAGCCACTGCGCTCTACTACCCTCACTCTACATGGCGGCCTGGCTGGGCTAGAGTCCATGGCCACACCGTGGGAAGCACATTGAGTTCATAGAACTCCCGACTGCAGGAGTTAGGCTCGAAGAAGTGAGCCAGGTCCAGAACCCTTGATCTTCAGTGAGTGGAAATGGTGACGAGAGGTCAATGTGAGGATGCCAGGAGCCCACCCTCAGAGTTACAAAGTCAGGCTTGGAACTGGGGCCCCAGGAACATGCTTTTCATGAGAGCTGCAAAGTAGCCCGGTGCTCATACTTTCATTCATACCTCAGGTGGAAACTCCTTGTTGCAAGATATCTGGACCCTCCAGCCTACCATGTACAGGGGTCAAGGATATGGCCCCAGCTACTGCCTCCTACCAGGAGGACTTTGAAACAGAGGCAGAAAAAAAGGTTCTCAGCAGCTGGTCAACAGGCAAGAAACTTCCAGGAAAGCTGCAGCAATACCCTCAACACCCACTGGACTCTGTAACCTCTAGGACTCACTCTGCCACCCAAACCCACCAGCCCCATCATCCTCCCCTTGGTCAATCCTCCACTGCATCAGCAGCAGCCCCTAGACAAACACTACCTACACCAGCGGGAAGAACAGCAGACCCTATAGGAACCAGGGCCACCTACACCAGCGGGAAGAACAGAGCCGCTATAGGTACCAGTGCCACCTACACCAGTTGGAATAACAGTCTCCATTTGCACAGCCACAAGCCACACCACTAGGAAGAACAGACTCCACAGGCACAAGTAAAACTCACATAAGCCAGAAGAAGAGGAAGATATGCTGAATCTAGACATCCAAACCCCACAAACCTCAGCTGAGACAACCCTACTGGACCTCAGGACCAATCAGTCACCAGAACCCTTGGCCATTTAGGCCAAAAGACAATAAAGGAAACAGACAATAAAGGAACAAAAGACCATCTAACAAAAATAGCACAAGAATCAACACCTGTACCTATACCTATCCCAACCCTAGATGGATAAACAGCAGTGTAGGAATACATGCTACAACATAAAGAGCAATATGGCACCCAGAACCCAGTGGTCCTCCAGCAGCAAGACTGGAATATCCCAATGCAGATGAAGCAAATGAAAATGACCTTAAAATAACTTTATGAAGATGATAGAGGTCCTTGAGGAGAAAATGAAAAACTCCTTTAAAGAAATCAAGAAAAAGGCAAATAAAAAATTGGAAAAAAATCAATAAATCACTTAAAGAAATTCAACACAGCCAAGAAAAAGCAATTAAATAGGTAATGGAAACAGTTTAAGTCTTAAAAATTGAAACAGAGGCAACAAAGAAAACATAAACCAAGGGAATTCTAGAAATGGAAAATCGGGGTAAGTGAATAGGAACTACAGATGCACGCATCAACAAGAGAACGCAAGAAGTGAAAGAGAGAATCTCAGGCATTGAAGAAAAAGTAAGAAGAGGGAGGAGAAAAAAGTGGAAAAGTCATTGGGGTGGTCTAGAAAGGAAGGGTGAAGCTTGGTCAAGGAGCCCCTGCGGCCTTACCTCTCCCTACGCCTCTCAGCCCTGCCTGTGCCCCCTCCCCTCCCCTTCACCTCTCAGTCCTGTGCTCTCCTCCCCTCCCCTTCACCTCTCAGCCCTGTATTCCCCTCCCCTCCCCTTCACCTCCCAGCCCTGTATTCCCCTCCCTCCCCTTCACCTCTCAGCCCTGCGTTCTCCTTCCCTCCCCTTCACCTCTCAGCCCTGCGCTCCCCTCCCCTTCACCTCTCAGACCTGTGCTCCCCTCCCCTTCACCTCTCAGACCTGTGCTCCCCTCCCCTTCACCCCTCAGCACCTCCCCTTCAGCTCTTGGCACCCTGCCCTCATCTCCCTTTTACTTCTCAGCACCTTGGGGCTCACACCCCTTTTCAAATCTCTCCTAATAGTAGTGAGCAGACATTAATAACTGTAAATGAAAGAGTCCATGAAAAAAAAAACAGCTGTTAGTTTACCAGAGTCATCTCCCAGGGCTTAGCATGACATGTATAATCGGTGGGAGAGCTATGTTATCCATCATTATCCATCTACATATTTTGTAACAGTGTATATACTATGCTGTACATATACCACTGCAGCGTCACCTGTGTGGAAGTCAGAGGACAATCTGTGGCATTTGATTCTCTCCTTCCACCATGTGCAGCTTGGGATCCAAATCAGCTGTCAGGTGGTCTCAGACACCTACCTGCTGAGCCAGCATGCTTCCTCCTCAGGAGTCCTTTTGACTTAGTTTTCTTTTTATGTACTGTTTCAAGAATGTTTTTTTTAAAAAAACTTAAGCTGTATAGCCAAGGATGAACTTGAATTCATTTCCTGAATTCTGCTGGGGTTACAGAAATGCACCAATACTCTAGGCAAGATTCCACTTTTTATTTATTTGTTCATCTATTTGGTGTGTCGTGGGTGTGTGCACATGTATACACATGTGCATGTGTTCACATTTGTGCACATGTGTGTATGTCACAGTGCTCATGTGGAGGTCAAAGGACAACTTTTGGGATTCATTTTTTCTTGTTCACCATGTGGTCCTCAGCGATAGAAATCAGGTTTCATTCTGTCTTGGTGGGAAGGGCTTTACCTGATGAGCTACCTTGCTGGCCCAAGATTCTGTTCCTGCTAAGTGTTGAATGCTAATCCCTGGACTGGGCTTGGGGCGGCATGAGAGAGGAGAGATGGGGGTCAACCTCCCCAGCGTGTTTTCCTACATCCGCTCGTCACTCCTACAGGGGAGGCTCCCACTCTGCAGCCCCGGACGCTGGACGCTGTGCACCCGTGTCCACTTGACGTCACATCCTCAAAGTCAACAACAGGGTTTTATTACGTGTCAGAAAGCATCCTCCTGTTTTCTGTATCTCCAAAGTCTAAGGAGAGCGGCCACATCGAGTGTCTCTAGCTCTCCAACTACTGCTCCCACTTACCACCTCCCCGCTCTCCTGTTCCCTGGAGCCTCAGCTGCTCGTCTTGATGGCTAAGGCTGGTACGCTGGACATAGGCTGTCCCTCCACAGGCGGTAGGTGATGGCAGTAGTCACAGTGAGCCAGGCCAGGTAGGGCAGTAGGAGCAGAGCGGCCAGCTTGTTGATCGGCTGCCAGATGAGCACCATGCTTGCCACCAGCCCATAGAGCAGCAGCAGGTCCAGGAGGGCCTGGGAGGAAATGATGGGAGAGTGTAGCCAGGCTGTGTCAGGAACCAGGACCCTCTGCCTTTCTACAGTACTCTGACCCAGAAATCCCATCCCTGGGGCACTGTGCACACGGTAGGAATTGCATGCCTGTCGCTTGTTGGTCCCACTATCTGATGTGGAGCCCTGTGGTTTCACGTTCTCTTTCTCCCAGCATGGAGCATCATGTGCCTTACCAGCCCAGGGTTGCTGGCTGTCAAGAAGAGCATCAAGAAGGTCCAGCTGAGGGTGAGTTGGAAAGTGTAGAGGCCAAGGGGCAGTGCTAGGGGCCACCGGAAGCCCCCTCCCAGGTCCTTCCACACAAGGTAGGAGGCATAGCTGCAGAGACAGGGTGTTCTCTAGGATCCAGGCTCTCTGGCATAAGGCCTCTTGGCTGCCAAGGAGTACAAGTACCCTGGGCCTGGCATGTGCAAAGGTGGGTGCAAGAATCATTTGAGGGCCAACGGAGGGGCTGGAGAGATGGTTCAGCAGTTAAGAGCACTTCCTGCCCTTCCAGAGGACACACATTTGGTTCCCAGCTCCCTTGCCAGGTGATTCGTAACTTCATGTATCTGTGGCTCCAGGAAGCCCGATGCCTTCTGGTGTTCATGCTCAGCATACACACACACACACACACACACACACACACACACACACACACACAGACAGACACATGTAAAATAAAATAAATCTTGAGAGCCAAGGGGGAGCTGGTGGGAGGAATTGGGTGGGAGGGGTTGGGTGTCCTGGGAAGAAGGCTGGGAGGGTTGGAGAGGGGGGAAGCAGAGGGCTTGCTGGAATCTGAGGTATATAGGGCATTTCTGTTTGTGGGGACCCGTACCCAAAGAAAAACTATGGGGTACCATCCATCTGGAGGCCAAGGTACAGAGCAAGCTCACACACAGGGGGTTTACCTTCAACCCTGCAGGCACCAAGGTCACACACTCACCCCATGACAGAGTAGATGGTTGCCCACACAGGTAATATGACCTTGTGGGGTGGACACCACGACAGCTTCCTGTCATCCTCACACCAACCGGACGGCTCATTAGGAGTGAACATGCAAATCAGGATGGGTCCCAGGAGGGGCACACCCACAAAGACAGGCCCTTGAAGCTGCATTCACCCTAGAGAGGCAAAATCTGGGCAGGCAGAGAGAATGCTGGGATGAGCGTTCCTCTGTCCTTCTCCGAGGCCTTCAAATTTGAGGCCAGAGTTCCTCATTGGAGGTCCCCCCATCTTGAGCCCGGCTGTAGTCATGACTCCTGAACCATCTGCAGCTACCATTCCCCTGCCATTTTCTGGCATCCGTGCCTTCTGTCCCCCACATTATCCACTCACGCAGTCACTGGGGAGCACGGTTCAGCAGATGCAAAGGCTTCCTCCTCTCGTCTGACTCCTGTGAGTCGGGACCAGGTTCGATCTTTCTCTCCCAACACAGGCAGCACCTGGCCAGGCAGATAGCAAGCCTGTAGAGTCTCAAGGACTGTGCCTTACCGAGGCTGACAGTGACATCCTGGAGGGAGTGGGGAAGCTTATGAGGCTTGTTCGTTGGTTCACAAGGCTGGACTTAACTGGACCATTTCTTTGATTTTCTGTCAGTGCATTTTCTGAGGTGAATAGATGTCCGTCTGCAGCCCTCCAGGAAAACGCACGTGGCAGCCACGTTCTGAGTGTGGGAGCCAGGGTTTGCTACGCCAGTTATAACCCCCAGTCGCTGCACTCATGTGCCCCAATCTTATCTCATTAGACCAGACTGGCACACTCAAGAGGCCCACCCAGGCTGGTCTGCCCAGCATCAGGCACGACCAACGGACGCCGTGGATCCCCTTCTCTGAAGCAGTTATTCTCACCTGCTCCTGGCCCTTCAGGGACGTGGTCTGCGTCTCCCCATTCCCATATGTCTGGTCTGCAAGCACAGGTGTCCAGATTCTTATGGTTTGACTCTGAAGGACACAACAGCATGGTCTTTGTTGAAAAATGCCATCCCCATTTGCTGTTGCTTTCTCTGTAGGCCGTTTTCACGTGGGCCAATGTTTAGGCCCCTCCTCCAACTAAAGCCCTGGTCAGTATCAACCTTCTTACTTGCTTTTGCTGTTTCAGCTTCTGTCTTAAGATCGACGGAATTTGACAGAAATAAAAATCTGATTGTTTTCTGTCCTAGAGTGACCGACAGACCCGCCCTTCCTATCACAGGTCAGGGACAAATTCTGGAAGTTTCTGGAGCAGGGCCGAGCTTCAAGCCTGTCTGCATTTTTCTATTTGGTTCTCTCTGCCTCTCATCGTCCACTTCCCACCTCCCGGTCTCAGTTATTCCTAATTTTTCCTCTGGTGCTGAAGCGTCTTCATATTGACCGTTCCTATCCTCTCTTCGGTTCCCAGGACTTCCTCACTTACCTCAGGCACACACCTCCCAGGCCGGATGCCTGATGACATGTGGTGTGCACAACACAAACGAGGGTGAGGGACTGGAGAGGGTGGAGCTGGGCTCCTGCTCTTCCCCCTTTCGCAGATGAAAAGGGAGCTGGCATTGTTGGGGAGTCTATGTGACTGTTTACATGAGGGCTCCTGTCCACACACCCACACCCTGGTCTGTTAGGACTTGTGTGAGTGTGTGTGGTGTGTGTGTGTGTGTGTGTGTGTGTGTGTGTGTGTGAAAGAGAGAGAGAGAGAGAGAGAGAGAGAGAGAGAGAGAGAGAGATTATGGATTAAATGCACCCAGGGCTTCATGCCTGCCATCAAGCCCTCTAGTGCTGAGCGGCTCCTATTTGCTCCTCTTCCCTCCTTTGGCCCCTCAGTGCCCTCTTGATACTTAGGTGTTTGGAGGAGGCCCCCTTGATGGACTGGTTCAGAGTTTGACATTGAAATCTCCACCTTCTCTAACAGCCCAGCTTGAAGCCACAATCCTACGGGTCTCTGGACAATCCTACCATAGTCTCTGCTCCTGTGACTCGGCTCTGTGTCCCTGGGGATGCCAGAGGCCCCCAGATGTCCCTAGGGCTCCTCTGGAACCAGATTGTCTTCATGTGAGGCAAGTACCAGCTTTGGAAATGAGTTCATGATCCATGAACACAGTCCCTGACTACAGCCTCATGGCTGGCCTGTTTCCGCCTGGCCTGGCTAGGGTTTGGCATTATCTTTCCCAACCCCAAGCACTGGGTGTCTCAGAGATGAAAGCAGCAGGCAGTGGAGGCAGGTGGGGAATCTGGGTGGGAGTGGTCTGGTGCTTCCTCCCAGCCACCCTGAAAAGGGACGGTGCGGGGGTGGGGTAGGGGGGGTGGGGAAAGTGTCCCTGCCTGTTGGCAAGGCCCAGTCTTCTGCATGACTCAGACAACTTTGTGTAACAAAGACAGCTACCTCCCTGTTTGTCCCCTGCCAGAGTTCTGAGCACCCTTCCTTGCATGTCCTTTAGGCACTGGGTCTCCTTTATAGGGTTGGCTGCTCTCTGTGGGTCCCTGGTGACACCCACCGGGGCACCCTGAGCTGTGTTTGTCTCACCCTCCCTGCAATCTCCACCCAGGGACGGAAGCGGAGGGGATGCAAGACAAGAGAATAATTAACTAGGAGAGGAAGCCGTTTCTCTATGTTCTTTTATGTGTGTGTATATTCACGTGTATGCAGGTACATGCATGTGTGTATGTGGGTGAGGGGTAAGTTACGAGCGCGTGGAGGCCAGAGGACAGTCTCGAGTGCCAGCTCTCTCAGCTGGAGTCCACATTTTATTTATTTATTTATTTGTTTATTTATTTATTATTTATTTTTGAGACAGGCCCTCTCCCTGGCCCGGAACTGACCAAGTTGACTGTGTTGGCTGGTCAGTTGGCCCACGGTTCCATCTGTCTCTCCCCCAGCTCCCGAGAGTTACCAGTGTCTTTTATGTGGATTTGGGCTGTTGAACCCAGCAGGCACTTGAGCATTACACTGTACTGAGTCATTTTCCCACCCCCCCTCTATCATCTATCTATGTATCTTTCCTTTTCTTTCTTCTTTCTTTCTTTCTTTCTTTCTTTCTTTCTTTCTCTTTATAAAGTTGTATTTAGGATCTGGAGAGACTATCCAGTGGTTAACAGAACTTTTGGTTTTTTTCAGAGGACCTGAACTCAGATCCTAGTGCCCACATCAAGTGGTTCACAGCTGTCTATAACTCCAGCTTCAGGGGATATGATCCCCTCTTCTGGTCTCTGAAGGCTCCCATGTACAGGAGGCATGCACATACACACAGACACATACACACTCATAAATTAAACATAATAGAACAAAAACAAACATATAAAACACATACACTAAAATAAGAATGAAAGAATATTAAAAATTGTTTTTTATTTTTGATTGATGTACAATAACTACGTATTTATTGGGTATAATGCATGATGTCTTGATACATGGATACATTTTGTAATGATCAAATTAAAGTAATTAGAATACTAATTTCCTCAAATATGTACCATTGAAGTTGTGACAACAGTCAAAATCCTGTTTTCTAACTATTTCAGAATGCATGCCATACAGTACACTGCTGTACTGCAGTCTCAGAGAGCACCAGAACTTATTTTATCAAACTGCAGCCCATTGCCCAGCATCACCCCACCCACTGCTTCCCGCTCTTTCCAGATTTTCATATCTGTATTCCCACGTTTATAGCAGTGCCGTTCACCAAAGCCAAGATAGGGAGTCAGGTTAGAAGCCCATGGAAAAATAGCTGTGTATTGACGAGGCAGACAGCAGCAAACGGTGGGCATCTCCCTGACCCGAGGGGCTTTCGTCCTAGACGCTCAGGGCTCCTGGGCTCTGCTTGCTCTTCAGGGCTCAGAGCCCTGAGAGTGTCAGCACTAACTCCTGCTCAAGGTAAGCAGGAGCTTTGCTCAACTCTGGGCAAGAGCTAGGGCAAGTGTCCAGCCCAAGGGTAGTGTCCCACCAACTCTGCGGGGGTGGGGAGCAGATATGTGAGTACCTGTGTGATCTTCCCATGCAGGGAGGGCGGAAAAGAGACTCTCAGTGTGAGGATCGGCTGCACTGGCTCACCCGGAAGGTGCTTTGAGCTGCGGTCTCCCGCCAGACCTTGTGGAAACAGCGGTTGCATTTGAACAAGTTTCCCAGGTGAGTCCCGGGGCGTCAGTCGTCTGACTACCTCTGGCCTCACTCCTCCTGTCCGTACCAGCAGCCTTTGGTAGGGGCCGTCGCTTACCAGCAGAGGGCACTGTGAGGAGGGGGCTTCTAGATGCGTGACCTGCATCAAAGCTGCCTCCTTTCCTCCTCCCTTCCAGACCGGCCCTGGGAAGTGTGCTGACTCCCAGGCCTCACCTGGACTTTGCCAATAGACAAAGACATTCTCCGCCACCCCTCCATAGCGTGACTGGGAGCTGCCGGGAAGTGGCAGGCCACACCTGCCTGCATTCCCCGCCCAAGTCCACTTGTCTGCTGGCCTGGAGACAGGTCTGGTTGGCCTTTCTGCTTCTTAGAGAAGGAATTATTGCTTCTGGGCGTGCTAGCAGCCTCTTGGAACAAACTGATATTAAGGTGGGTACCCCGGGTGTGTGTGTGTGTGTGTGTGTGTGTGTGTGTGGCAGCTGCAAGGGGATGGTATGGCTAAGGGAGAGGCCCAGGGAAGAGCCAGATCAGCTAAGCTAGTCTGCCACCCTGTGAGGACCCTCTGCATGGAGGAGGGAAGAAAGGGCCAGTGCTGGCCTGGTGTCAGAAGCAGGAGGATGATTCTCTGTTTGGTGGAAATGTATATTGTGCTCATGAGTGCTGGCCATGAACTGTGTGTGGCCTCATTCACTGTCTTGTTGTTTTTGCTGTTTCCCTGGTACTGTGGTTTGAACGCAGAAACGTGGGCAGCGTGCACACAAGTGTTCCGTCACTGAGCTACACCCCCAGTTCTCTTTTTTATTTTTGTTACTTCGTTTGGTTGTTTGAGACAGGTACTCACTATGTAGCCCAGGCTGACCCGGAGCGCACTACCAGGTTGTCCTTCAACTCACAGGGATCTGCCTGCCTCTGCCGCCTCCTAAGTGCTGAGATTAAGGTGTGCCCCCTCTGCCGGATTCTTACTTTTTAAGACAGACTCTTACTGCATTGCCCAGGATGGCCTTGAACTCTCTGTAAGCTCAGGACAACTTCGAATTTGTGGCCCTCCTCCTTCAGCCTCCTGAGTAGCTGGAATTACTGACTGGTGCTGCCAAGCCCAGCTCAGGCCAGTACTTTCTATGTCTTTTAAAAGCACTCGGAACTCTATCAGTGAGAATCAGGGAGGAGGGGAGGGTTGAGTATCTACAGGATATGAACAGACCTTTGCAGTGGGATTCTGGGTCTTTGTTCATAGGGAAGGTGATGATAGTATTCTAATGCCCCTTGTTTTGGGGAAATGTTACCCAGAATGCTCTGGGCTGGAGAATTGGGTTCTGAGGAGTCGGGAGTTAGAGAACATGGTTAATTGGTAGGACTGCAAGCTGGTCCCTTCAACTTTGGCTCCATTCCCTTCTTGGGATGGGGGGCGGCTGGAAGGGTGGGGATGGGGTAAAGGCTAAGGGAGTCTGGAAGAGTGGTCAGCTGGCCCCAGGCTTGAGCTGGGAGGAGTTGAGCTGCTGCAGGCCAGAGAGATCAGCAGGCTCCCTTGAGGCCCAGGGTGCTGTGGGACAGGCTCTCTTGAGGCCCAGGGTGCTGTGGGAGTGTTATATGCTAACTTTCCAGGTGGGGCAGCTGGGCAAGGGGACCTGGTCCAATGGGGAGGAGGGGATTTGGACTCTGGTCTTTAATGGGCCCCAAGAAGGCTGTTGTTATAGAAACAGAGAGCTTCCTCTCATTCCATTCTCTTTTATCAGCCATTCGGCTGCCGGAGCCTTGGTGGGCAGGGCATAAATGTCATCACTTGCCTGGGAACCCAGAGATGCCTTTATTCCTTTTCAGCCCCTCGACTCCCTCCTCCCGTCCACCTTTTCTCCTCTTTTCTCTTCTTCTTGTTTTCACTTGTTTGTTTTTATTTCATGTGTACAGTGTTTTGCCTGCAAGTGTGGAAGTGCATCATGATCATGGTGCCCACAGTGGCCAGAAGAGGGTCTCCGTCATTTGGGACTGGAATTATAGATGGTTGTGAAACCCCCATGTGCTAGGAATCAAACCCAGGTCTTTCGAAAGCCAGTGCTCTTACCTGCCGAGCCATCTCTAGCCCCTTTATTCTCCCTCCTCCCCGTACCCCCCTCCCTTCCTTTCTTTGCAGCAGTCTCATTGTATGTCCTCAGACTCAGTCCTCCTGCCTCAGTCTCCCAAGTGCTGTTGTCACAATGCAGAACCATCTTTCTTTGCATTTTCTCCTTCTCCATCCAATGCCATTGTCACTAGAGGTGGGATTGCAGAGATCTAGGGGCAAAGGAGAAGTGGGGCAAGCTCGAGGGGGGTGAGGATCACTGAACTAGTCACCCCTGTGCATCAATTCCTACTCACCGTTCCTCCCTCCATCCCTGCAGCAGGCAGAAAGCTCAGCTTCCTTACCTGTGAAGCGAAGACACATGGGCATAAGACACAAGCCAAGCCACTTCTATCAGTCTTTAATAGTTGTGGTGCTATTAATAGCGAAAACAGCAAAGGGAATGAGGAGGCTTACGAGAGAGCTTGCTTTCTTAGCCGAATCAGCTTCTGACCGCTGCCTGATTCACCTGTGGCCTTGCAGGTGGCCTGGCTAAAGAAGGTTGAGGCTCTGGCCTCAAGGTTGTGTTTCAAGATAGAGTGAGCAATGTCCCATCTCCTGTGTGCATCTTCAGTGAGGATGCAGGAGAAATAGGCCCCTTTCAGATCTTAAGGGTATGGTGCAGAGGAGTGTCTTCCTGTCTGGCAGGGGCTGGAAAGGGAGTGAAGTCTTTATAGGTCTTTAGCTGCAGGTGACTGGTGAAGAGTAGGGGATGCTGGGAGCCTTTCCAGTTAGTGAAGGACTCATGAGTTAAAGAAATCTCCTTGGAGGAGGACATCACGCCTCAAGGAATCCAGCTGTCAAATGGAGGAATGGCCTTCCCCCAGCAGCTCCTCCAGGGATGAACAAGACATCTTTGGCCCCTTTGGAGCCTCCCATGGTGCCTGATGTGCAGCTGCTGATTAGAAACGATCATGTGAGAAAGCTGGCAGGACAGCATATGAGGAGGAGTTTTTCAGGCTAGTTTGGCAGCGGAGAGGTTGGGAGCCAGTCAAGGACTGGGGCATATCCAGGGATGTAGGGGCCAAAGCCAGAACGTGCAGGGAATGGGAGCCCAGTCCTACCAGAGTGTGTGGGTGTTAGGAGTCAGCAGGGCTCAAGGAGGAAGTAGGAAGGGATGGGAGCAGATCTAGGGAAAGTTGACGTGTGTGCTGGAGGTTGCTAGAAAGTTCTAAGTTCCCGGGGCTCCCACTGCCAGGCAGTCAGGTGAGCCCTCAGTGAGCATGTGCTTTTGGCCTCACTCATTTCATGTTCTCTTTAAGGCCCTGCTTACTTCTTCTTCTTCATCCTTTCCTCTTTTTTGCTTCCACTTGTAACTCTTGCTGATCATGCTGTACTGTATGTATGCCTGGGAGCTACCTTTGGACCTTTATGGCAGGTGGAGGGGTACAAATAAACACATTTGGATAGTGCTGTATCATCTACAGGTGTTTCCCACATGACACCATGCCATCCTCTTTAAGAAAGTGCAAAGCCATAGGACTCAACAAGCCCCCCACAATCCTCAAGGACCAGAGAGATGGCTTGATTGACAGTGTTCTTCCTGTGTACAAATGAGAACTGAGTTGGATCTCTGGTACCCAAGTAAAAATGTGGGCGTAGTGGCTTGCATTAGTAATCTTGGCGCTGGGGAGGTAGAGATAGGTGGATGCCTGGGTTCTCCTTGGCCATCCATCCAAGCCTCTTGAGTGAGCTCCCAGTCCTAGTGAGAGATCCTATCTCAAGAAATCAAAGAAAGAAGCAAAGCAAAGCAAAACAAAACAGCCCAAGTCAAAGCAACCAAGCAACCAACCAACCAACCAACAAACCCACCAAACAAACAAAAAACAAGGTGGGGGTTGGAGAGGTGACTCAGTGGTTAAGAACACTTGCTGCTCTTCCAGAAGATGGATGTTTGGTTTCTAGCACCCATGTCAGGCAACTTAACAACTGCCTTTAATTCTAGCTCCAGGGGAATTTGATGTCTCTGACTTCCATGGGCACAATCCCACACACACACACGCATGTACGCGCACATGGACACACTCATGCATACAAACACACATGTGCATACACATCCTGAAGAATGATATCCAAGGCTGACTTCTGACTTCCACAGACATGTGCATACACAATTACAAAGTTCATGCAAAGGACATGCTTGCTGTGAAAAATCCAAGCCATACGGAGACTTCCAGAATTCATTCCTGTGTTCTTCAGTTGTCATGATTTTCCGTGGTGATCAATAGAACGGGTTGGGAGTATTTTCTTCCAGACTTCCGCTAAGACACGGGTCATCATGGAACTCTGTGGACTATGGCAAGTCCTAGCTGAGCTGTGCTCTGAGGATAAAGTACTCAGGGAGTACTTTTCAGGGTGTGAAAGAGTTCACTAATGAGCTCATACCCATTGCCTGACAAAATACTATTTTGAACGTGTTGGATTAAATACAAATATTATTATTACTTTAAAATATTTATTTTGGTATTCCCATGTGTATGTATGAGCATGTTGTATGCCTCTATATGTGGGTTTCCACAGAGGTCAGAAGAGGGTGCTAGATCCCGTAGAGCAGGAGTTACAGGCAGTTGTGAGCCTCCCAGCATGGATGCTGGGGTCCAAATCTCAGATCTCTGCAAGAGTAGTAGATGCTTTTAACCACCGAGCCATCTATCTTTCCTGCCCCTACTATTACTTTGTAATGTGACCAATAAAATATGTCAAGTTACATAATTGGCTTGTGTTTTTATGATGTACACTATTGAAGATGCCTCTCTATAGTTTACATTCTCTCTCTCCTCTCTCTCTCCTCTCCTCACCCTCTCTCTTCCCATATTCTTCAGGCTCAAACCCAGGGCCTTGTGCATGCAGTGCACTCGGCCCTCAGTTTATCCGTGTATTTTATATCAATCAGGTTGGAAGTTGCTTTCTTTATTATAGATTTTTTTAAATGAGTGCTGATAGCTACAGATAGATATTGAGATGCTATGTCACCCAAGCTGGCTTCCAATTCAGGATCTTCCTGCTGCAGCCTCCTGATTGCTAGGATTACAGGCATGTACCGCTACTGGCTCAAAAGTAGATATTTGGATGGGTGAGGACATTGAGGTAAATGAAGCAAATGATAATCGTCATAGGTACAGTGACTGATACCTTGAGCTCGTGTCCTCTAACTCAATGTATGTTCTCTATACTCAGGATTTATTTTGCTGTAACTAGGTTGTGGAGAACTGCGGGAAGCTCACTCTTTTGGAGAGTTTGTAGCTCAGGCTGGCCTTCAACTTCAAATCTTACTGCCTCACAAGGGCTGAAATTGTAGATGTGTACCACCATGCCTAGCTCAGGAAAGCTGTTGAGTGTGTGTGTGTGTGTGTGTGTGTGTGTGTGTGTGTGTGTGTGTGTGTCTGTGTCTGTGTCTGTGTGTGTGTGTGAACCTACATGGGGGAGAGGGAAAAAAGGGGGGAGCATTCCTGGAGGGGAGTGAAGCCTTGGCCTCCATAAATTCAAGACTTAGTACAGTTCTACTGACTCTATCCACTTTCCCTGCAGGCCCTTGGCCTTGGCTGGTACAGGGGTGTAGGCGTGACCAGGCAGATGAGCCCCCAGGACAGCAGTTCTGTGTACCCTTTCCAGTTCCTTCTGTTGGTGGGGATACCTGTGGCCAGTGTTTTCCTTCTGCTTCAGTGCCTTCGCTGGCACTGTTCTCGGTGGCTGCCAGAAGACTGCAGGAATCCAGATGACCAAGAGGAAACAGTGTTCCCACCCACTCCATTGCCAGAGTATGAGCCCCCAAGGCAGGGCCCACCCCCGACAATACCGGAGGTGGCTGCGTTCTACCAGGAGCTCCAGACGCCCACCCGGGGCCAGACCGTCACACGGAAGCTGATGCATAAGCTGCTGGTGTATTCTGCTCGAGAGGTGGATCACCGTGGCGGATGCCTGATGCTGCATGACACAGGCATTTCTCTGCTCATCCCGCCAGGTAACTACTCCCAGCATCCTTCTTGGCAGAGTTCTTCAGGCAGCAAGGTAGGGTACCCCATCTGAGCTCCACCCACAGAGAACTTTGGATTTGGAAAACTGTATTTATAGTTTAGCCTTTTTGATTCCAAAGATAGATTCTCCCAAGATGAGTCTCCACATATCTTTCGGGACAGCTTCCCTGCAGGTGGAAATAAAATGCCTTGCTCTAAAGACAGCCTGCGGTGACAAGTCTCCAAACAAAGGAAGGCTGTGGTGTGGAAAGTCACACGTGTCCCCATCCGGGTGGCTGTGGCCGTGGAAGGAAATGGTGACTCTAAGTCAGCTCACGGTGGACTTCCTCATTCACACAGCCTCTCGGTGTTCTGCTGGGTGCCCTCAGCTCTGGGCTTTGGGCTCAGAGTCCCTGCCCTCTCTGCCTGACCTTGCGTGTTGGACTCACCTCAGCCCTTTGTCCCTCCAGGTGCTGTGGCAGTGGGTCGTCAGGAGAGGGTGTCCTTGGTTCTGGTGTGGGACCTGACAGATGCCCCATCATTGTCTCACAGACAGGGGCTAGTGAGTCCTGTGGTGGCTTGTGGCCCTCATGGAGCCTCCTTCCTGATGCCTTGCACCCTCACATTCAAGCACTGTGCCCAGGAGCCCAGTCAGGCCTGTGCCTACACCAGCAATACTCCCTTGCTGGATGCCAAGAACTGGAGGCGTCTGGGTCGGCCGGGGGCTTATACCTCCCGGGATGAATGTCGTATCCTGCTCTCTCACTTCAGGTAGGCCTTGTCCGTTGGCCTGTCCCCTGCTCTGTGCCTCTCTCTTTCTCTGTCTGCCCCCTTCTTGTCTTTGTGTCAGAACTGCTGCCCCTGTCTTCCTTAGAAGGACCTTTGTGGCCCTCTCTCTGAGTCTGCTGTTCTAATGTCCACGGCAGTCATTTCCGTCATGGAAAACCCATCTGAGACTGTGTCCCACTGCACTCTGCCTATCTGGAGGCACCTGATCCAACCCATCCCTCTGTCTAGTAGGCACATCTAACCCACAGTCCATATGGCCCAAATGACTGTGAGCAAGTACCAACACAGAATTGTAGACGTGCTTAAAACATTGAGATTTTTGTTTTTGAAATTTAATTGTATGGTTCTTGAGTGTGACTGTGGACGACATCATTCTGCCTTGGTGTCAAAAGGTTGGACACACCTGTAGTGAGTTTGTCCCATCTCTGCACCTGTCCTTCACAGCTGCCTCTCTCTGCTCGTGCCCCACTGCAGGAGCCCCCCCCCCCCCCCCCGCCAAACTCTTGAGGAAGGGCAGGCTGCTCCTTTCAAGCTCATATCATAGCCGACCTCCATCTCTTGGGTCTGAGGTCCTCTGCTGCCCAGTTTCCTTGTCGCCTGTCCACCCCCAGGAGGATCATGTGCAGGACCCCCTTCAGATTGTGGCTCCCCATGTTTAATTTGTTTCTGCTGCAGATAATACACACTGACTTGTCTCCCCAGGAGGTGACAGTCACTGTATTAGTCACCTCTCACTGCTGTGACAAACACCTGACCAAAGTAACCTGAGGGAGGCTACTTGGGCCCACGTTTCAAGGGTACATGTCAGCCATGGAGGCAGGGGCTTTCAGGAGGCAGGGGCTTTCAGGAGGCGGGGCTTTCAGGAGGCAGGGGCTTTCAGGAGGCAGGGGCTTCTGGTCATGCTGCCTCTTCAGCCAAGCGTTAGAAAAGGGGTGGCTGTTGCTGCGTCATTTGGTTTTCACTGAGTGCAGGAACCCCATCCTGTCTGTCAGGGTGGGTCTTCCCCCCTCAATAACTCAGGTGAGAAACCCCCTCACTGACGTGCCAGAGACTTGTGTCCGCGGTGATTCCAGACCCTGTCAAGTTGACAGTCTTACCATCACAGCCACCATGGCCCACTCCTCAATTCTTTAAGCCACTCCGTCTCTCACCCGGTCCTCCTTCTAGACCTACTTAGTGTGCTCTCCTCACCTGCTCAGAGATCCCTTAGGGGACAGAAGCACGGAGGTAGGCGCCTTGGGATCCCGGCCTTCCTGGTGCTTATGCGTGGGCGTCCGCCACCATCTTCTTCCACAGCCTCTACACCTGCGTTCTGGAGGCACCCCTGGGTCAGACAGCCCGCAAATGGCTGCAGCTGGCAGTGTTCTGCTCCCCTCTGGCACCCGGGCAGACCCACCTGCAGTTGCGTGTCTACTTCCTGAACAATACTCCCTGCGCCCTGCAATGGGCTATCACCAATGAGCAGCCCCATGGTGGACGCATGCGTGGGCCCTGCCAGCTCTTCGACTTCACTGGGGCCAGAGCAGACCAGTGCCTGAAGCTCAAGTACATCTCTGAGGGTGAGGGGACCGCGGGGTGGGGGTGGGAGTGGGGATGGAAAGCTCCATGGGAGGGCCGGTTCGGGGTCCCTTCTAGTCATCCAGGGAATCATTTCCTGGATTTGGTTCCCGGCATCCCTGAGAGGACCTCCTGGCTTTGCTCACATTCCTGTCTCCCACTTGGTCCTTGCCAGCCATCCTGGACTAGAAGGATGCGAGGCAGAAGGCTGGAAGCGAGAGGAACCTCGGATTGGGAATTATGTTCTGAGTTTCCCTGCCTGCTGGGGCTCTTCTTAAGACTGGGGCTGCTGATGGTGTTTCTGGAATCCTCTGTATAGTTCTGGATAGGAACATCTCTGGGGCATACAACTGCTTTAAGAGGTGGGGTAGACAACGGGAGGATGAAGGAAGATTAAAGGGCTGCGTGCGTGCGTGCGTGCGTGTGTGTGTATAGTATAGAGACACAGGCATAAAAACAAGCCCAGTTTGAGGGCTTGGATTTCCACTGACTTGAGACCCTTCTGCCCCTTGTCATCCTGATGCCCGTCCACAATCTCCTTAAAGACTTGTGGAAGGCCTTGTGCTCGAAGGCCGTTGCTTCTGTCCTCTCCCTAGGTTGGGAAAACGTGGATGACAGCAGTAGCCAGCTGGTTCCCCACCTTCATATCTGGCATGGAAAGTGCCCCTTCCGTTCTTTCTGCTTCCGGAGAAAGGCAGGTACGCCAGGAGCCCTGCTCACTTTCTAAGCTTGTCCCGTCCAGCCGCCCTATTCCACAGCCCCACTCTCTGCTCTTACCCATCTTGCTTCTCTTTGTAGCCAATGAGAATGAAGACTGCTCGGCAGTAACCAATGAGATCATTGTCACCATGCACACCTTCCAGGATGTGAGTTGTGCAGAAGCATAGAGGGAGGGCAGGACCCGTGGAAGGTCTGGGCAAGGGAGAAAGGTCCAGAACGCAGTGAGTAGGGACCTAATTACAAAACAAAGTAGCTAAAGAGTGCATTTGCCATAGAGCTACTGGGCCAGATCTCTAAGGGATGTAGACCAGCTGGCCCCTACTTACCCTCCATCCTTGAGCCCCTTTTATGGGTGGATGAATGCATTAGAATATTAAAAGATTCAAATCCTACATTAGCTCTTTCTCTCAGCTCAGGACAGACAACTAGGGCATCTGGAAGACCTGACCTCATCCAAGGTCCCCATCTGTCTTCAATGGGAATGACTAGAAATGGGGACTTGAGCGGTGGAAAGGGGGTTAGCTATCTCCCCACTCCCTACGGCAGCAGAGAAGAGACCAGCATGTCAGGTCTGAGAGTCTTTGGAAACCCAAAGCAGCATCTTGCAGGATGTGGGCAGCCACCACACACTGTCATTTGGGGAGGACAGTTGGAGGCCAGTCTCTCTGATAGTGGGTGGTGTCCTTGTCTTGCTCGTGCCTTCTGGCAGCTTAGGACGCATCCTGTGTGGTTTTTATTGTTCGCAGGGACAAATCTAAGTCTGACTGTCGAGGTTCTGAAGTTTGGAGTCAGAGGGTCCAGGGTGCTGCGGGAGGGGGAAGGATGGGAGAGTGGAGGCTGCATATTCTGGTGACAAGGCTGAGCAGGGTGAAGGAAAGTCATGAGGAATGCAGTGGGGCCCCTTGAGGAAGGAGTTTCTCATGACCCCTGAGTGTGTTTCCTGTCCCTGTTGGTGATTCAGGGCTTGGAAGCCAAGTACACGGAAATCCTCAGGTTCCAGGCCTCAGAGGAAGAGCCCTGGGCGGCACCGCCTCCTGTCTCTCAGCCTCCCCCATGCAATAGGTGAGGTGAAGGTAGCCCGACTGTTGTCTGGGGGTGTTTGGCAATCCTGCCTCAGCATCCCCAGAAGGTAATGGAATGGAGAATGTCAGAGTTTCTTTGTGTGTGCGTACGCATGCATGTGTGCATTCGTGTGTGTGTGTTCATGTATGTAGGTGTGTGAAAGCATGTGTGTGCATGCACATGAAGGTCAGTGGTGACTTTAGGTGTTATTCCCCAGGAGCCGTAATCTTGTTTTTGAGATAAAGTCTCTCACTGGGACTTGGAGCTCTAAGTGGTCACCAAGCTCCAGGGATCTGCCTGTCTCCCTCTCTCCCATGCTCAGGTCACAAGTACATGCCACCAGACTTTTTATGTGGGCGCTGGTTGTTGGACTCAAGACCTCGTGATTATGTGGCAGCAGATTGAACTGTCTGCCCAGCTTTCCTTTCATAAACACCCTGTTCCCTGCTGCAGGCTGCCCCCGGAGCTCTTTGAGCAGCTGCAGATGCTGCTGGAGCCCAGCAGTGTCACTGGGAATGACTGGCGTAGACTGGCCTCCCACATGGGGCTGTGTGGCATGAAAATCCGGTGAGCAAACGGGGAAGTCAAAGGTGGACTGGGCTGGGGCGACTTCAGGACATTCTGGGAACTGGACCACAGACAAGGAGGTGACTTGAAAGTTAGTGAATGGCTACTTCCCACCTGAGTCCCTTTGGAAGGACAGCTGTTTCTGCCGATTCTACATCCTTGAACTCCAGAGTAACTGTTATCAGACACTCAGGTCCGTAAACCAGCCATCTGCTTTCCCTATGTTTACCAAGAAATTGGAAAACAGAAATTGATAAAAATAGATTTAGTTACAAACTGGGGAAAGAAAGACTCTAATTGCTTACAACTGTCTTACAATTTACTCAGGAGGCAAAGGCCAGAAGATAAGTACACCTGGTTCTGAGACAGACCTCTCTCAGGGACTGAGGGGGTGACTTGTCCCCAGTGTCTCAGTCCTCTATACAGCTTTGTTTTAATTATTGTTAAGGTTCAGGACTGAAGAAAATGGGAGCAGGCATTAAGATTCCAGTTTTTTGTAAGAGAGCCTCAGGGGTTGCTGGGATGCTGGTGTGAGAGCCCCCGCCCCATCTCTGTGTCTGAACCTGGCCAAGGCCATTGTTCCAGTTCATTCCTTTGGTAGGCATAGAGTGGAAGCCTTTGTATGTTCTCTGTGGAAGTCAGCTTCAAGTTCACACTCCTGTGTATCTGTTATATGGATTTTGTAAGTGAAAAAAAGTAGCCATAGTTTTACAGTTGAAGAGAAGGGCACCAGTGCCTCAGTAGAATTCAGAATACCTCACTTTCTTCCTAGGATGCCAAACCCATTCGTTCAGCCTGAGGTCTGTCTCATAGTAGGCATGCAATAAATATTTCACAAGAAATGATACAAGTCACTGACGCTAGTGCGCGCTCGCCACACTGTGGCCCAAGGCATGGAAAAGCAGATTACAGGATGATGTGTGTACAACACGGAGCTGGAAACCTGCCTCTTGTTAACACAGGCAGTGTTAGCAGGCACAGTGGCGATGCGACTGGGGCCCCTGCCAAGAAGCTCACAAAGGGATGGGTAGAAGAACAATTCTGTGCAGGTCCCAGAGCCCAGGCTTGAAGGCAGTGGTCAGGGATGAGTGAGCTAGAGCCAGACCCTGGAGGCAGAACAGATTGAGACAATCGTTGGGTGCCTGTCTATGTACCACTCAGCTTTCGGACACAGTGTGAAATACGTTCTCACCTCCTAGGAGCACAAATGATCTATAGCAAGGGCCTTGAGAACCCGAGAACAATAGCAAACTTCCCTTATGCCCTCTGTGTGTGTTCAGTATTGCGGAATACTGAAGAGAGGCACACACAGTTGAAGCAGGAAAAGCTGGGTCTGGCCAGAGGGCTGCAGAATGAAGAGTCAGAAAAGATGTCAGAGAGGGGACCATGGAGAGTCCGTCACTGTAGCAGAGAGGAGCAGCTGAGGTGCAGGGGGCCAGGCTATGCAAAGTGGTGTAGGCATGGGCCTGGAGACAGGAGGCTTAGGGTGGAGGTGGGCAAGGACAGGTTGGAGAAGCAGGGCATCCCCGGTGGTAGAGGAGTTAGAGGTTGTAAAAAAGATTCTAGAAGGTTCTCAAACAATGACGGGTCATCACAGAAACTATGCATGCGACACAACACAAAGTCCTATGCGTACTTAAAGTGTGATTTTTTCCATTTTGTTTTTTAACATGCGTGATTCCCAAGCGTGAAATTTGTAGACAATACCTATCTCAGTCTGGCTTTTCTATTGCTGTGATAAAACACCATGGCCAAAATCATCTTGGGAGGGAAAGGGCTTATTTGCTTATTCGTGACACTCCATCATGAAGGGGAGTCAAGGAACTGAAGACAGGAACCTGGGAGCAGGAACTGATGCAGAAGCCATGGAGGGATGCTCCTCACTGCCTTGCTCCCCATGGTTCCACAAGCCCACTTTATTGTACCATTCAGAACCATCTGTCCAGGGGTGGCATCATCCATAGTGAGCCGGACCCTCTCATATCAATCATTAATCAGGAAAATGCCCCCAAAGATTTGCTTATGAGCAATCTAATGGGGGCATTTTCTCAGTTGGAATTTCCTCTTCCAGATGACTGTAGTTTGTGTCCAGTTAACAGCAAGCTAACTAGGACAATGTCAACAGGTTGGACATTTTCAGATGCTGTCTCATGAAAGATTTCAGCTTAGTAAAAGGAACCTAAGGCACAAGAAGAGCAGAACCTAGGGGAGCAGTGCAGGGTGGGCCTCATACTGCTCCTTAGTTTCCCTGCTTTCTTTTCACTGTTCCCTGTCCCTTGGAGACAGGTTCTTGTCCTGCCAACGCAGCCCAGCCGCGGCCGTCCTGGAGCTGTTCGAGGAACAGAATGGCAGCCTGCAGGAGCTTCACTACCTCATGACCTCCATGGAACGGTTGGACTGTGCCTCCGCCATCCAGAACTACCTAAACCGAACCCCCCGGGGCAGCCCTGCCATGATGCACGGAAGCACCTGGGAAGAACATCTGGGAAGAACACCTGGGAGAACACCTGGGAAGCACCTGGAGCTGGATGAGAAACTCTAAGCATGCCCTGCGGGTCCTCGCGGGGTGCTGCAGTAGGCCAGGTCATGCCTATGAGTTCAGGGTCATTGGCACAGACCCGGGTGGACCGAGCTGAAACACCCAGCGAGGCTAGGCTAGACTGCCTTACCATCAGCCCCGCATCAGGACCGCTCTCTCTCCTGTTGGCCAACTTTGTCTTGAGTGCAGGTTCCCTCCTGGTCGGTAGAGGGCGCGAGAGTCTGGGAGATAGCCACAGCCCAGTCAGCTTCCAAAATGCTGCTTTAGTTTCTCGTGGACGGCCAGGTGGCCCTGCAATCACACTGAGATGGAGACTGCTCAGTTCACAAAAATTCAGGGAGCACTGAGTCTCAGCACCAAGCAGGAATCATGGGGGAAACGTCGGCTTCTTTGATCTTGTTCTGGAGTCTGTTCTGCCGAATTGAGATGCCCTCACCATCAGCTGAGCGCGACATTCTAGAAGTGCCTTCCTATGGTTAGGCGATGCGGTGGGTGTGTAGCTGTGCTTAGCTTTGGGTTGAGAAGGGAGGGCGCTGAGGTGTGGGCCCGAGCAAAGAGTAGACTCCAGAGAGGATCATGGGAGAGATCTTTGGGTGGGGCTTGGGGAATAGGGTGGGTGCACAGAGTAGAACCAAGAGTGAATGTGTTGGGCTGCCTTAGGAGCTCACCTGAGGGGTGTGAGGAGGTTGGCAGCGGGTTCAAGGCCAGATCTAGAGAAGGCAGTCATACCTACTGGCCTCACGCTCCTGTCCCTTCATGTCTTCCCATCTTCCCATGAAGGTCACACCTATCTTCGTTCTCTGCCACTGTCTCTCTCACCACACACACACACACACACACACACACGCACGCACGCATGCATGCACGCACACGCATTCGCGCGCACCCCCCCCCCCCCCCACGAAGCTGAGAAGCATTCAGGGTACACATTCTTTCGCAGCCCAGGTCTTTCCACCTCCAGCTGAGCGTGTTAAGCCTCTGGCTCCTTTTCCTACAGTTGCCCCCTTTCAGGGTTAACCTGACCTTCTGTGCTCAGGGCTTCACACTGCTTCGTCTCTATCTAGTTATGTACACCGCCCCATCTTTGTGTGCTTTTTTTTTATTAAAACAAATCCCCCGTCACTGCCTCAGGTGAGTGTCTCAGAACTAATGCTGATATCAAGACTCCTGAAAGAGCCTCAACTATTCGGGGAGTGAATGAGCACAGATACCCCCAGATCAAGGTCTCCTTTAAGGCCAGGAAGTAAAGACTGGACACTCCACACAGTCAGCAGTTCAGGTTATTAATACTCTTGCTTCCCAATAGTTCTGTTAATTTGTCCAAAGACAGACGATCTCTCTGAAAGCCCTAACAATTCATTTCCACATTAAAGTAAAAATTGGTACTATTTTAATGGTGAGCAATATTAGTAAAATATAAAAATGCCTTTCTTCTTAACTAAGTTTTGCCAAGACTGATAACTTTGCATATAGGTATGACTTTTTAATACAGTTTTAAAATTTCAATTGTATTCTGTGTAGATATCTGTATATGTGAGTGCAGGTGGCAGTGAGGGGCAGAAGAAGCCATTGGCTCTGTGAGCCATCTGGCCAGGGAGCTGGGAACTGAACTCTGGTCCTGACCACTGAGCTGTCTCTCCAGGCTCCAGTGACCTTGGGTGGTAACAGTATACAGATGAATATTCTGCAGTGCACTTCTAGGATGAAAGCAGGCCAGTACCAGGCAGCTCAGTTCTCCTTCTTGGAGCAAGCCTTAGGATTTGGGCCCTTCTGGCCCCTCTCTGTTCTTTAAGCCTCACTTGTCGCCTTCTGCCCTTTTTCCTCCCTTCTTTCCACACCACTGCTGATCTGTCCGAGTCGGTGCCTTGGCTCAGAATCGGCCAGCAAAGGGCACTTTCTCCCTCCATCCCCCGCAGTTTCTTCTCTGCAGGTCAATCAAAGGCATCCTTGGAGTCCTTTCTGGAACAATTGATTTTATATAGCAAACAAAAGCCACAGGGGTTACAGGAGAGGGGGATTGTGGGAGTTCTGGTTCCCATCATGGGAGAGAACTCTTTCTGGCGTGTGTTAAGGTTTACTAGAGGGACAGGAGTGATGATACACACACACACACACACACACACACACACACACACATTAAAATGGTGCTTATTAGGCTGACTTATAGGATATGAGCTGAAAAGTCCAACATGGCTGTCTTCACACCAAAGAGACTGAGAACCTGGCAGCTGTTTAGTCCATATGGCTGGGTTCCCTAGCAATCCCAGTTTGTGCCAAAGGTCTAGAGGGTTCCTGGAGAATCACTAGCCTTCTGTCCAGCATTGGAAGCCTAAAGAGAGGAACAGGGAACTGGGGTTTGATATCAGTAAAGAGTTGCCACCGCCACTGCCATGGGGTGGAGGAGCTTGCCAGCCAGGGTGAAGGCAAGCAGGCAAAGGGCCAAGCCTTTTCTCTTGGTCTTTCCTTTCATCTGTCACCGGAAGGTACTCCCCATACCCCCACATGTAGGGTGGATCTTGCCCACTCCAAATAAGAAAATCAAAGCTAACCTCACCTCACAGGCGTGCCCAGCAGCTCGCATTTGAGCTGATTCCAGATCCAGGCAATATGACAACCAAGATTAGTCAATCAGGCTGCCTAGGCCAGCTTCTCAGGATGAGTTTCCAGGGCAGATAAAAGGATGCTTGGACATCCCTGGACAAGTGCAGGCTACATGGTTCTCACCTGACTAGTGTATATTTCTGGTAACTAAAGTCAAGAGAGGGTGATGATAGTGGGTGCCAGAAGACTTAATGTTTTGCCCTAACTTTTGGGCTGACCAGAACAGGGCCTTTCTACCCTCAGAGCCAAGCAAAAGTAGAAGAGGTCTACCAAGGACCTTTGAGTCAACAGTCTGGACCGAGATGTCTCGCAGTGACCCTGTCACATGGAGCTATTTCCCCCTTGTGCATTGACTTTACTAAAAGCGCTTGATGGCTGCATGAGGCTTCTCTTCCAACCCTTCCCTTGATAGGTCACCAGTCTGGTCCCAAGAAACAAATTCGTGACTGCTCTCCTGAGTGTCACAGAGGCCTTGTCTTGTCTTGCTCCCATGGGCAAGGGTCTGGAGGTAGACAGGGGGGAATCACAGGGTGGAGTGGAGTCGGCACCTCCAGGGCTCACATGTAAGCCTGTCTCAGTACTTACTCAGAGCGCGGGTGATAGCACTGAGGTCCAGATCTTCGTTATCCATTGAAATACAGTGACACACACACACACACACACACACACACACACACACACTCGCATTTTCTAAGAGTCACTTCAAAAATGTAAAAAGAGGAATGCTGAGATGGCTCAGAGGCACTTGCTGCCAAACGGGACAACCTGAGCTCATACCTAGGACTCACCCGGTAGAAGGATGGGACCGATTCCTGCAGGTTGTCTCCTGACCTCTATACACACACTGTGGCACAAGTGTGACTCCCTTCTCCTGGAAATAAATGTAATAAAATTTTTAATGTAAAAAGAGGCACGTGACATCAATTTTGTTAAATCAAATATATCCAGGTTATCATTTCCACATACAACCATTCAAAAATTAATGGTGTATTTAAATTCTTTAGAAGTTTACTATTTTAATCAATTAATTTGTGTATGTGTGTGTGTGTGTGAGAGAGAGAGAGGTGAGAGAGAGAGCAAACAGGTGTGTGTGGGATAAATGGACAACTTTTGGGAATCGGTTCTCACCTTTTGCGGAGGATTCTGGGGCCATCAGCCTTATGCAGCAAACTCTTTATTTACTTCACTTTCTCGCTGGCCCTAATTTATTGTCATTGTTGCTGTGTGCTTTCTGTGTGTGATGGGCACACACATATGTGGAGCCCAGAAGGCAGCCTTGTGAGATTCTTTTCGCCTACCTTTATGTGAGCTCCAGACACTGCGCTCAGGTCTCTGTGCTTTGGAGAGAAGAACCTCTGCCTACTAAGTCGACTTGCTGGCCCATGGGCACATTTCAAATTATTTTTCATATTAAATGCCTGGCATCTGGGATGCATTTTGCAGTTACAGCACATTTCTACCTGTACACCATTGTAGTTTCTATCCTCAATGGCTCTGCAGAGCCCACGTATTATGGGCTTCGTCCCCAGTGTGTCTTGTGCTGCTGAGAAGGAGGTAATGGAGCCTTAGGGAGATGGAGCCTAGTTTCAGGAGTTAAGTGTTTGGAGAGAACTCATGATAAGATTTATCATCTTCTTCCTTGCTGCTCTCTTTGCTTCCCAGTCACCATGAGGTACCCTCCCACATGCTCCCGCTGTGATGCTCTCTGGTGCATGAGAATTGTCTGTATTCTGTCAATCATGTTTTAAATAAATGCTGATTGGTCAATAGCCAGGCAGGAAGTACAGGAAGTATAGGTGGGAAAACCAGACAGGAAGTAGAAGTGGAACAATGAGAATAGGAGTATTCTGGGAAGAAGGAAGCTCTTCCCGCAGTCCTGCCCAGATCACAGAAGAAGCAAGATGTGACCTGCCCCGCTGAGAAAGGTACTGAGCCATGTGGCTAACGTAGATAAGAATAATGGGTTGATATAAGTTATAAGAGTTAGCAAGAAGCCTGAGCTAATGGGCCAATCAGTTTATCATTAATATAGACCTCTGTGCGATTTTCTTTGGGGGCTCACCGGCTGTGGGAACTGGACAGGACAGAAACCCCAACGAGCAGGCCCTTCATGTTACAATGCTTTATGCCATCACATGGTCAAAGCCATCCCATTGGGCTTATTGACCATGGCTAGAATGTTTGAAACTGTGAGCCCAAATCTTCCTTCCTTCTCAAGAATTTTGGCATAGTGACAGAAAGAAGCCAGTGTTTGTAAACTAGTCATTTGAAATATTGGAGATTCATTTAGCTCTCATAAAATTTATAGCTGAACAAAGTACACTCACATACATACAAAAAATAGAATGCAAATTTTAAAAAATCTTACAAAATAGAATTAGAGAAATTTTTCTTAAATTTAAATTTACTAAAACAAGGTAAAATGAAAATTTGTTTCTTCAGTTGTGCTAGCTACATCTCAAAGGCTAAGTAGCTATATATAGATAGTGGGCACTGCTACTATATAGGACAGACTGAATTATAGATTCAGCAGAGTAAAACTTTATTGTGTGCTCAAACATCCATCCATCCTTCATCCATCCATTCATCCTTACATTCACGCATCCCTGTCTGCCCACCCACCAGCCCACCTACCCATATATGCCCATCCATGCGTATCCATTTATTCATCCATTCATATCCATCCACTTATTATACATCTTACATTTGCTGAGTATCTACCTTATTCTAAGCCCTGCACATGTTATGGTGATAAAAAGTCAATCATGAAGAGTGTCCTGTTTTCCTAGAGTCTCAGGAATGGTGGGAGTCAGAGGGAAGGCACTTTTCTCGCATGCTTCCTGCATTAAACTCAAGAATAAAATGGAGAGGACCAGTAAGTACCCAGCGACAGCTCCAGAAGACTAGAGAAATAGCAGTTGGTAAAGTGCTTGCCTTGCAAACATGATGACTGAGGTTTATCCCCAGAGCCCAAATTTTAAAAAGCTGGATATAGTAGCACATGCTTGGGTGGTACATGCGCTGGGAGGTGGGTAAAGAAGGACCCCTGGGGTTTGCTGGCCTACAGCCTAGCTGCCTGACAAATTCCAGGCCAGCAAGAGAACTTTTCTAGACAAACAAACATGCTAGACAGCATCTTAGGAGTGACATCCAAAGTTGTCCTCTGGCCTTCCCACATACAGAGACACACACAAAGGTCACCAGTGTTGGTGAATTAAATTTGCTCTCTCTTCCAACACCACATACTTTGTACCTTCTTGTGTTTCAGAGACTGAGAGACTGAGAATATAAAATACACTTCTTAGACATTCTGGAAACCATCTGAACTCAAACAGAACTGATTCACAGTTAAATTCTCTCTCTCTCTCTCTCTCTCTCTCTCTCTCTCTCTCTCTGTGTGTGTGTGTGTGTGTGTGTGTGTGTGTGTATGTGTGGTGTGGGGGTGAGGCAGGACATGAAATACTTATTTAGAGAAGCTTAAAGTTTGACTTACATGTAGCCTCTCAGCTCTGCCTGAGGTTTGTGAACTATGGCGACTCCACAATATATTGTTTATACTTTAACTAATCAGAGATGGACTGTATAATCTACAGTGAAGGCCCCTGTCCAGTGTGCCATCAGTCTTTCCTTGTTCAGGCCATTCTTTAGTCTGCATCTTTAGCCTCTTCCCTCTGGCAGATAAAATCTCAATGGGTCTGTGAGATCATGGAAAAGTATGAAGAGAAAGACTAGCAGACAGAGAGAAAGACTAACAGACAAGAGAGGAAGGCTAGCAGACAAGAAAGAAAGACAATAGAAAGACTAGTAGACAAAACAAGAATACAGTCATCCTGGCTGGGAGGTGGCTCAGCAGTTAAGAGCACTTGCTGTTCTTTCAGAGGACCCAACTTTGGTTCTTAACATCCACATTAAATGGCTCACAACTCCAAGAGAACCTGAGTGTCTCTTCTAACTTCTGTGGGCAGTGAATTCAAGTGATATATACTCAACACAGACACACCCACATATACATAAAACACAGGATAAACCTTTGAAAACTATGATAATCCTCTATTTATCCTCCCTTTCCTAAATTAAAAAAACAAACCAGAAAAGACAAAGAGCCTAGACTAAATTTTTTGTAAGGGATTTCACACTGTAGCCCAGGTTTGCCTCAGACTTTAGCAGATCTCTTGCTTCAGTCTCCTGATTGCTGGAGTTACAGGTGTAAGATCTAGAGTGCCTTCTAATGAGATACAATGCCTTTTAACTTTTTAAATTTAATTGAAGTGTATGGGTGCTTTGCCTGCATTGTGTGTCTGTGCACCATGTGTATCTATGCCTGAGGAGCCAGAAGAAGGTATCAGATTCCTTGGAGTTATAGATGACTGTAGGTACCACTGTGGGTCTGGGAGCAGAACCCACGTCCTCTGGAAGAGCATCCAGTGCTCATAACCACTGAGCCGTGTCTCTAGCCTGTTATTTATCTTTTAACAAGCCGTACACATATGTGTTTATTCATTTTTTAGTATCTATCAGAGTGCTTACTTTGTGTTGAGCATCATGGTGGGCTTTCTTTTATTTTCTTATCTGTAGATGATCTTTATCATGCTGGTTTTAATCTCATCTGCACTAGTTTCTTATCAGTAGAGACGTTACAGCTTCTGAAAAAACAACACCACCAACAAAAAACTAACACAAATCTTAGTTGGTTATAGAGATATTATCTCAAGGACAGGAATATTAGTAGTCAGCCCACAGGTGAGACCAGGAAAGTCAGCATCAGGGAGGGCGAATGATGCTGGGAAGCTGGAGTGCGAAGATGGGATCATAAACAAGTCCTTAGCGGAGTAGAGTGGAGACGGAGTGGGCCTCCTGGTGCTGGGAATCTCGGGGAAGTGAGCAGCAGTATTCATCTAGGACATCCAGGTGTGGTGGTGCACACCTCTGAGCCTACCCCTCAGCACATAGAGGCATTCAGACTTTTGTGAGTTTGAGGCCAGCTTGGTCTAAAGGGTGAGGTCTGGTCTTAAATAAAAATGAAAGTGTACAAGAGAGAAGGTGGCATTGGTTGTCACACCTGTCTTGTTGCCTGCTGTGTTTGGGGTTCCCAAAGTCAGGCTGCGGTCACTCTGGCTGAAGAGACCATCTGGTGTCGTTTGGATCTGAAATGTTCTGCAAGAGGATCCTGTGTAGAAGTCTTGCTTCTCTACAAAGTGGTATTCGGAGGGAGGGCTGCTGGGAATTGATTGTATCGTGAGGGCTCTGACCTCATCAATGGAGTTGTAGTTTGACGACGTAATCGGGAGGTAGTGAAAGTTAGGAGTTGGGGCTAGCCGGAGGAAGTAGGTCACTGGGACATGCCCTGGACAAACGTGCCTTGCCCTGGTCCCTTTGTGTCTCTCTCTGCCTCCTGTCCCCTATGAGCCATGTCACTCTACCACCTGACCCCATTGAGATGCCCTGCTTCGCCATGTGTGGGACTGGAAGAAATGGAACCGAGGCCTCTGAAACCAGGAGTCAAAATAAGTTCTGCCTCCCTGAAGGTGTGTGATGCTTAGTGGGACTGTCAACCTGACAGGACCCCCAGGTGTCTGTGTTTGCTGTTGAAGCTACCTAGCCAGTGACATTATGTTACAGTTGTCTGGACAGCCTAACCGGGCTGATTGGTCAGGATCCAGTCACAGGGGACAGTCTTCCCACTTCCTCACTACATCACCACAGTCAGGCTTACCCTCCCCAGGCATGCCCAGAGTCCGTCTACCATGGGACTCTAGATTCTGTCAAACTGAGGATTAACAGTGGCCATCACAGTTGCCCTCCAAGTTAGTGGCCTACATTGCCATCTCTCACCATCTTTATGGTCAGGAGTTAGGATGTAGCTGTTGGCCGAATGCTTGATGGAGACAGGAGTATCCACATCCATGGTGGCCCTCTCTGTGGGTTATCTTTAGACACCAGTTGTGGGCCCTAGTCTTGGATTCTCCCCATGGACTTTTTGAGAGTTTTTGAGAGCAGTATGATGATGACATTCATTCCCAGATGTTCGACTGGGGAG